TAGTCTTACTCATATAGAAAATATCTATCTCAAAGATAATATTAACATTTCAATCGTTAAACTTGAAAAGTGGACACAAATATAATCTTGACTTAAAACAATAATAATGTCCTTCATTATTCAACTGTCAATCGAAAATCTCAGTCAATTGATTAATATACGAATTCATTCTTATAAAACTATCAGTTATTTATCTCTAAATAGGAAATTGTGCTTCTTAAAGACATAATAATGGTTACTTCGAAAATGTTTCGATCTCCTTTCAATTGCTAAAAATTCCAATAAACTCTCTTTTAAAGTCTAATTTCATCGGATCAATAATCATAGATTGGTAAAAGAAGTATTCTAAACAATATAGTTATTTAGAAATTAAATATTGACTTTTCTCTTATTTATGTAAAATGGTCAAAAGTTTTCATTGATTATTATAGAAAATCCCAAATAAAATAAAATATACTGTTCAAACCCATTGATAATCTGAATATGTTCTATATAATCTTGCTTCACTAAACATAAAAGGTTGACGTTTAGTTGATCAACCTCTATTGAAAACCGGTAGTTGTCGATGTTGTTTTTGATGATGATCATTGTGATGATAATAATATCGTTGTTAAATAATCAAGTAAAAGATCAACAAGAACAAAATCAGATAATGATGAATGTCTATTTGAAATTTATTCTATTTGTTGTTTATATAAAGGTTATATATAAAAATAAATTTTAATTCTATTAAGACAATCATATGAAAATTGTATTCAATTGATTAATGATTATAATATATCTTCATCAAATTCTTCAATATCATTTTATCTTGATAAATCTAATCTTGATTATAATTGTGCATAACCATATGTTAATTCAAAAAAAAAAAAAAAAACAAACCTTTATTTAATTCTCTTAGATAAATATCCGTTAATCTTAAAAAAATAAATTTATGATAAAATAGTATTATTTTCATAATATTCATTTATATTATTTAATTATAATCTACGATTATATTATATTGATTATTGATCACCACTACCAACATTCATTTCTTATTTATCATTAACGATAAATTAATCAATTTAATCATCGATTATTAACTATTCAACGTAGATTTTTATCAATTATTCTTCTTAATCATTAATTTTCATCTCTTTTACAATTTATCGTCATAGAATACAATTGATAAAAAGGATAGTTTTAATTAAACTAACCATAAATCTATAAATAAATTGAATTAACTAGAGGCCCCTCTCAAACAAGAGAGAAAACGCGAGACTGATCGAGTCCCTACTTCTACTGTACTTATCTATACTTCCACCGTACTCCGGGAGCCTCACCTTTCTCTCCTCCTCTGGTTGAACTTTAATTTACATAAGAAAAAAATTTCTAAATGTAAAATATAAAATAGATATGAGTGATATATATATATATATATATATATATATATATAGATAATGAACGGACATAAACGACGTATATGCAGGGTGGCGCAAAAGCAACGTTACCGAAAGAAAAAAAAAAATTGAATATTTCCATAATGACTCGATCAAACGAACTGATTTTGTTTATCCCTAGTAAATGTATGTTGACACATCATATTGATAAAGAGAAGGCAAGAAAGAACCTTTTTTAAGTCTCACTATTGATTTCAACAAAAGAAATTTTTACTTTTTCACTAATGGAAAAAAAACCAATAAAGAGAGTGGTGGAAAATTTACTTTACCGAAAAAGAATTGAATATCTCGATTATGGATAAGAGCAAACGAGTTGATTTTTTTATCAATTGAAGAGGCATATGAAATGTTTATATTGATAAAGATATTCCCAGAGAGACCCTTTGTTACCTATGTTCGTTTTTTCCCTAATTGTGAAAAGGTAAAAAAATTTTTTTTTTTTTGTTGAACTCAATAGTGGTACTTAAAAAGGTTCTCTCGTGCCTTTTCTCTATGAATATGAAGTGTGAACATACATTTACTAGGGATAAAAAAAATCAGCTCGTTTGCTCTTCTCCATAATGGAGATATTCAATTTTTTTTTTTCTTTGGGTAACGTTACTTTTGCGTCACCTTCTATTTATTTGTTTGTTTGTTAAATATTCTATTGATGATGATTATCGTTCCGAACAAAAGTTAATATTGTATAATTTAAAAAAAAAGAATGTTAATGCTCACCAAAAAATGAAAAAGTGATGTCTATATCATATTAAACTTGTTCGTGTTAGGTTAAGGTATTAAATATGAATGATGAAAACGAAGCTGTTAAACATTATATTGAAGATTGACTATCGTCACCAACGAATTGAGTTTAATTTAGAAATGAATATACCCTCATCATCCTGTCAATATTCAATATTCTCTTTAAAATATCAATTAAAACGTATCGTTTATGATTATCAAAATAAAACTTATTGACTTGACGGAAAAAAAACGAAAAGAATTTTTGTTTTCTGGTTCATAGACGTTTGCATGTCGTTGTATGATGATTTTTTTTTCTAGTCCTATTATTGTCACGGAAAAAAAAAGAAAAAAGAAAATATTATTATTTGTTAGTTAAGAAAACAAGCAAACATAATAAGATCAATCAATCTAGTTTATTTTGTTTGTGATAACGATCATCTTTGTTTTTTTTATTTTTCTTCGAGATTTTCAAAATGGTGCCAAATGAAAATTTTCGCTTTTAAAATAATTTATTTAAATTGATTTTCTTCCTACGGGCAAAATCAACGTTCAACTGGTCAACGACATTATCATCAAACACGACATAAACAACCTTAGATAAATAAATCGATTTATTTATTCTATATAGAAAAAAAAAATCTGAAACACCTATTCCAACATCTATAGGAAGACACGAAAAAAAAAACCCAGACAAGGTCTTCAATCAGATAATAGATTAAGAGAAGTTTTACCATATAGACATTCTCCTTTGAAACAATAATGTGTTGAACCTATTAAAGATAATTTATTATTATAAGAAGAATTTATTATTAATGAACAAGGTTTTAAAGCAGAACGAATAATATTCTAATGAAATATAGTTATTTCATTTAAATATTTAAAAAAAATAATAATAATAATTATTTATTATTGTTAGGAACAAATGTTCAAAAGTCGATCATATTCTCTATTATCGAATTTTTATATTTCAATCAAAATAAGAAAATCAGGAACAAAAAAAAAAAAATAATCAATATGATTTTTCTATTATTATTCTTTTAACAAAATTCAATGGTCTATTTTTTTTTTTTTCTAAAAAATCAATAGAATGTTAAGATTCGTTTCTAATAGATTTTCGAGGAAAATCTTTCTCTATATTTGCTAGTCCTTCTATAATTAATAATTCCTTTTTTGTTTTTATTTCAGAGGATGACCAATGACTGTTTATACTTTAGAAGAAATTATTGATTATAATCATCCGATTCTCTCTAGATCAGTTGCATTCTCAACATAATCTATCAACGTTGATAAAGATCAACGTTGAACCTTTATCTAGACTTTTATTAAATGATTTATTTATTTCGACAGAAGAATAACTAATATTATATTTAAAGTAGATCCTATTATTGATCTATTAGGTGATCATCTTTATCTAATGGTTGAAGTTGATTGAGAATAAATTGAAAAATATTTGCTAATGTTAGATTTATTTTCTCGAAGATAAAATAATTGACTCGAAGATAAATTTCCTTATGATAATCGGAAAGTTGTGGGTGAATTAAATTGTGTTGTTGAATAATATGTTTGATCTATTGGTTGTATTGATGAAATATATCCTATTGGAATAAAACGGGTATATTTATTTATCTAATAAAAATTGATTTTAAATCTAATAGTTTTTATTTAGTTATCAATCAAATCTTGGATGGTCAATGAGATATTCAAAGAACAATATTACTTTTATTAAATCAACTTTTTTTTTTCGTTTAACAATTTGATGGAATTCTATTTTGAGCAAGAAAACTTGATTATGTAAAAATAGAAGAGCGTATACTTTTTCTTTATTTTATTCTTTGACGAATTCTTGCTTTAATTAAAATCGTTGTTTAATATTTGTTAACTCGAATAAATCAAATAGGTTTTTTCATTAGAATTAATATTTCCATCAATTCATTGATCATTTTTTACAATGACAGTAGGTTAGATTTTTGATCAACATCAAGTAGAAATAAACGATTTTCATCTAAAAGAATTTATTCTAACATTTCATATTCTTTTTTTTTTTCTTAATTGATATGTTATTATTTATCTATTAGAAACAAACATTTATCGTAGGTGTAAGTGTTGATATTTTAAAAAAGATAAAATGGAAATAGAAAGAAGATATGATCGTAGGATAATAACAAAACTAATGCATTGAATAAGATAAATCAAAGTTGATTCTATATAATTAATAACTATGATCAAAGTCAACCTTACAAATGAAACAATCTTGAGAATTGTTTAGAAAATAAATTCAATAAGAACGATTAGTTAATCAATTTCTACTTTGATTTAGTTACTAGAATAATATGAAATCCCATGGAAATATAAATATAAGATAATCAATATCTGAGTAGATTATTCAAGATAATATTGTTATTAAACAGTTTCTATAAGAGCACATATCATTCTTTTCTTTTTTGAACTATTCGATTTATTTAATTAAAATAAAATACGGTTAAAATTTAAATAATTTATCTCAAATGAATAAATAGAAGAAAAAAAAAAAACCCGATTTATATTTCTATCTGAATTCTATGTTAATATAGGTCGATATATAACGTTCTTTAATCGATCGATTTAGAAATAAAATAAGTATATTTAAATCTAATCTATATTATGATTAGAAAATAAAACAATATGAAAACCTTATTAACAATATATTATAGAGATCATCTTATCAAACAAATACCTTTACAATATCTAATCGGTTATTAGATTTTTCATTCTTCTATAATCAAATATTAATATAGACTTTTTTTTTTCTTTTTCAATATTTTTATTTTAAATCTAATTAGTGTTCCCTAGCTAAATATTTGCTTAAAAAAGTTCATTGTCTTATAGATTCTATAATACATGAGAATTGATCTAATCAATAATTATATTAAACTTTTTATTTAATAATTATTTATAATAATTACTTTCGAATTGACACGAATGAAACCTATGCTTTTACAAATAAATAGTATTCGATTTATTTGTTTGTAATGTCTCATAGGATATTCAAAACATATTTATATATGATTCGATCGTTTATATAAAATCATTGACACCAAATGGACTTTATTTCAATTCAGAGATTATACAAAATAATGGTCGATTGATCAATATGTCAACATCAAAAATACTTTACACAATTCTATCATTATCTCTAGTTCAATATTTCGAGTCTTATTGATAAACAGCAGATTAGACTATGTTTACATTCAAACTATATTATTATTATTTTTAGTTTTAAATCTATCATTAGAATTCTATCAATACGGCATTTAACAGTTTCTATTATATTAAATAACGAGAGTCTTAGTAGTATAGCATTGAGTATACCAGTTGCCATAAGGAGTCAAATATTTGTTAGGAGAATTTTCTAGATTTGTTAATAATCAGTATTAGTTTTTTGAAAACGTATATAGAAACTTTAACCTTGTGTTAGATGATCGATTTGCGAAAGGTATTCGATTATATTTATAGAGAGGAGTTGAAAAAGATCGAACATAACTCTTTCAATCTCTTTACTTTTTATATTGAATACGAGGAAAAAGTCTTTTCTATTTTAATTAGAATTTATTTTGTTTTTCTTTTAGAGGTCAAAATAATTTATAGACTTCTACGCACCTTATTTAAATAAACTAATTAAATATCGAAGATTTTAGAGTTGAT